ACAGGAATCTGAAATGCGTTGCGCAGACATATTACAGCTAACCAAGTTAAAGTGTGCATACCTCTAAGTGGGCAAATCAAGTCACTCCAACTGCCAATCACAACCCATTAATGGAATCTTGAAATCAATGTAGTAGATACATAGACTGGCATTAAAAAAGATATACAACAGAAAATATCAGACTGTATCACGCCTAGTAAAGATGAGTACTGTCTTGTGAGACTTTTGATTCAAATACATATAATTTTTATGCATAAGTTGAAGATATAAATGTATTTCCTATTGATCTAGACCAGGGGTCCTCAAACTTTTTAAACAGGGGGCCAGTTCACTGTCCCTCAGATCCGTTGGAGGGCCGGACTATAGTTTTTAAAAAAACTATGATCAAATTCCTATGCACACTGCACATATCTTATTTTGAAGTAAAAAAACAAAAGGGGGGAAAACAGGCCAGATAAATGTCCTCAGTGGGCCGCATGTGGCCCGCGGGCCATAATTTGAGGACCCCTGATCTAGACCATACAGAGTCTTCAAAGTACTGCCCTTAGGCCACATCTAGGCCACGTTATTAGAACCTCATCACACTTGTGGCTGCCTTCACTCTACAAAGGTAGGCTTGAAGTTTCCATGGAGACCATATGCTCCACAAATCCTAAAATATTTAGTATCTGGTCTTTTGGAATATCGTTACAGACCTTTGATCTTGAGCAGTGGTTCTCAACTGGAGGTGAATTTGTAATACCTGAAAAGATTTTTGGTTGCCCCACTGGGGTAGAGGTACTATTCGCAGAGAGAGACTGGAAAATGTTGCTAAATATCTTAAAGTAAACAGGATAGATTTTCACAAGAATAAAATGACTTGGTCAAAAATGGCAATCCTGCTAAGGTTGAGAAATCCTCCTCTAGAGAAAGGCCACATATAGCAGTAGACTTATACAGGATGTCTACAGCAAACCATAAAGCAATAGCACAAATGGGCAATTCCCCAACGGCTGTTAGCGCAGTGGATGGGATTCATTCACTGAGGAATATCCATGTAGGAGAATCCTGTGGAGCAATGAATTCATAAACCACAGCTACACATGACAACATGGGAGACTCTGAGAATACAATGTTGAATGAAGAAAGCAAGCTGCAGCGTTTACTTGGCCTCAAAGAGCCCGTGGGAAAATGAAATGAAGAGAATGGATTTTTCCCACGGACCGTTTGAAGCCCCCATCACACAAAACAACTGCATTCACCATACATACTCGAGTATAAGCCAACCCGAATATCAGCCAAGACACCTAATTTTACCACAAAAACTGCATTAAAAATATGCTGAAAACCTTGGCTTATACACGGGTATATATGGTATATACATTCAAATAATTTACAGTTCAAGGATAGAAACAGATACAGTATACAATTAAGAAAAGCAAGACAATCAAACATAAAGGTCAAAACAGTGGTTGTTTCTGAGGAAGTCAGAAATAGGATGGAGGACACACACCTTGGGAACCCCCAATCTTTTCCCTACTGGCACTCACTGTCATTTTCTTCTTTAAGTGGCATGTGTATTTTTAAAGCGTTATTTTGTACTTGCCCCTAATTTAATGGAAAAAACTCGAGAACAGGCTTTGGGAAAAGAAAAACAAAGACAGGACAGTTTGAGGAGGCCAAAGGACACAGAAACGCAAGCCACGGAGGCCAGCAGAACTGCCCAGAGTCTACTTTGGTTCTGTTTTCCGGCAGACAAAGCAAGGAGAAAAATACAGTCAGTGGAAGAATCTGTGCTGCCAATAAGATAAAACCACAGCAGTTTCTCGGAAGAAGCACAGCTTTTCCAGGCACTTGAGCTTAAAAGAAATCTCTCCCTCGAGTCTTCTCACGAGGACCACAAAGTGATGAAGTGAGCAATCCCTCCACAACATCCAAATAATACACGGAATATTGATTTTCACACAGCTACTCCTGATAATGGGGACATTCTTGTATGCAGCCTAGGAAACACACTATTAAGGTTTCTGCATTTTCAAACATCAAGTAACGTCCAAATCAGCCTCCCTGGATCCCTGCCTAGGACAGCTCTGCCGCTGGCACCGTGCCAACCTAGGATGAGGAGAGAATCAGGGGACAACCAGAACGGGGCACAGGTGTCTGAGGGCGCGGAATGGGCACTGGGAACCATCTAGCAGACTAATGCCATACAACTAAAGAGCCTGATACAGTCTAATACTGATACAGTTCAACTTGGAAAGTGCCAAAGATGACTGTTCTAGAAAAATTAGTCTACAACTGGAATATCCCCAATCCACTGCCATCTAGTAGATTCTGACGCATAGCGACCATACCGGATTTCTGAGACAGCGTAGCCTTTCTCTGAAGAACAGCTGTTGGGTCTGAACCGCCAATCTTGCTTACCTAATAGTACCGTGAGGGAGTCTTGTATCTTCCACACCGCCTCCCCAAAGAAAACCCCAACTACTGCCATTAAGCCAATCCTCACTCACAGCAACTCTATAGGGCAGTGTAGAACTGCGCTTTTGGGTTTCCGAAACTATAAATCTTCATGGGAGCAGACAGCCTCACCTTTTTCCAGTGTATGGGCTGGTGGAGTTGAACTGCCGACCCTGTGCTTAGCAGCCCAACACATAACCCACTACAACAACAGCGTGCTTTGCATCTTGAACAGTCCTATCTTAAATTCTGATTGTTCTTTTTAAGGTACAGACTCCACCATTAGGGTGGAGGAAGGGGTGGGGGAAGGATCAACGGCCTGTAGCAACAGCTACAGACTACAAGGGGCATCCTCACTGAATGTGCTAACCCCTCTCTCACTGACACCAAGCACATTTTATATCACACATTAACGGTTTTTAGGAATGAGATGAAGTTCTACAAGAATTTTCAATTTGTCCTTTTTTTCTGGTGATAAAAATAGCACATGCTCATAAAAAATTCAACCACAGGAAAAGTGTATTATGAAAGTCCCTCCTCGTTAAGGTGGTGCCCCTCTACTCTACCAAGGATGATGTCCTTCTCAAGGGACTGGTCTCTCTTGATAATATGTTCAAAGTAGGGGGTATTTTAAAATGTAGTCTATGCTATTTGATCCAAAGCCACCCCTCTTCCAGTTTCCCTATTCCAGTGAATGCCAAGGCCATGCCTCTGGCAACATGAGCTAGAACATCAGTGCCTTCACTTCCCTTTGATCCCACACCACATCAGGAGACTTTGCCTCCAACACAGAATGTCTCCCATTCTTTCTGCCAGGACCTGCAAGCACCCTTACAAGCTTATAATTCCCAGGTCACCACAAACTGCCTCTCTCTCTGAGTCCGTTCTTGTTCACCTCTAACATATTTCTGACTGCCCTTTCACCTGATTAAAATAGCTACTCCTGGTGCTGTAATGATAAGGATCATTATTTTTTATAAGGATAAGCATCTTGTAGAGGCAAACTAGGTGCTCAAAGATCTCAACTCTCTGCCTGCCCATCCCCCGTCTACTCTTATCTTCTCGCCATGATCTCTACTCCACCTCTTTCCAAAGGTATCCTACCTTCTGTAGGAGACTCTTGGAACTTGCTGTTACACTCAGTCTGGAAGGCTTTTTTGCTTTGCTAAAGCCAATTAAGGCATCAGTTCAATCACCACTTCCTCAGGGAAGTCTTCCTGACTTCATCACATAAAATCCCAATATACTAGCACAGGGGTCCTAGTGGCACTGTGGGTTAGGTTTGGGGTGCTGTGAGGTCTGTGGCTCAAAATCACCAGCTGCTCTCCAGAAGTATGAGCTGCTTGCTCCCATAAGGAACCACAATCTCGGAAACCCTCTAGGGTCACTCTGCGTCAGAATCAGACTTGATGGTGTGGGTTTCTGGAGTATACCTGTCATATCCCTCCTTCACAGTGCTTCTCACGCATCTTGGCCTCTGTATTTTCCTTGAGGGAGCGCTGGGCTGTTAACCACAAGGTTGGCCGTGAGGAACTCCTCACAAGGAAGATGGGGCTAGTCTGCTCCTGTACCCATCTCGCTGGCAGTGGGCTTAGTCTGTTGTTCCTGTTCTAGTTTTTGTTGTTCTTATTAGAAAGTGGCCTCCCCATGGACCTGTCCAAGCATGACCGTCCATCCCAACCCCCATCACAGTCCTCTACACATGGCACTTCCTGAATACTGAGCACGGAACATGCCAAATGCCAACTCAAGCATCCGAAATGGCCACTCCCTATCTGGAAAGTGCTTCTGGCTCCTGACCTACCTTCCCGGGATATAGCTCAAGTGTCACTTCTTTCAGGAAATTGTCTCTAACCACTCTAAAATATTTTGGATTTTTTTCTCCTCCATATAAGTCAAAGCCTGGCTTTATACTTTAATGTGTTTAATGCGTGACTTGCCCACTAAATTACATTCACCTGGAGGGCAGTATCCACGGTCACGACATAGTCTCAAAGTCTAGCACAGTGGTCAGCAGTTCAAACCCAGCAGCTGTTCCCTAGGAGAAGGACAAGGCTGTCCGCTCCCATAAAGATTCGCAGTCTAGGGCACCCTAGATAAGGTCACTATGCGTAGGAATCCACTCGGTGGCAGAGAGTTTTTGTTGTTGTTTTCCAGGACTGAGCAAGCACATAGCTGGCGTTTTTTTTGTAAAGCGCGTGACTGGAAAGCCCGGCGGGATTGGGCAACAACTCGCGCTGTGGCCTGAAGCAAGTCCATTCCCCCAGCAGGGTCTGTTTTCCCCACGGGGGAAGGTGTGTCACTCCATTCCAGATGGCTGCTTCTAAACAGAGTGGGATGGGCAAAACTGCCTAAGGGGGCAGCAAACCTGCCCACGGGGGCGCCTCGAGGAAGAAAGCACGGGGCGGGGCCGCAGTGGAAAGATCAGTTTTAGGGTGGGCGGGGGCCTAGGGCCTTCGCGCCAGCAGGGAGGGGACAGCCCCATCTCAGTAACCCGAGGAGGCCTCCCGGGGAGGACCTGGCGAGCTTGGAGACTGGGCCGAAGAAGGGGAAGTCCTCACCTGTCCGGTACCGACTCAAAGGGCCGGGGCGAGAGGCCCCCCAGCCGGCTCGGTGCGCGCCTCCCCCGGCCCCGCCCCCATCATGCCTGGAATCCCGGCTGGGCGCCGCGGCCCCCGACTTCCGCTAGACACCGGAAGTGAGGCGCAGTGAGACCGGAAGTAGGGCAGAGCGCCTAGCGATCCGCTCCTGCTGGCGGCTTACACAGCGCACCCTGGTGCCGGGAAGGAGGTGGCGGCCCCGGGCGCGCGGAGGTTCCGGTGTAAACACCTGGATCCTCAGCGGTCCCCTATGACACTCGCTGCCTGTGAGGCTGCTGGGCGCTTTCATTTTTCACCACTTCATTAGATACACCGTTTCATCCCCGAGGATCCAGACTGTACGTATTATCTCTGAAGACTCCGCTCAGCACAGATACCGGCACACAGTGTGCACACAGTCGAGTGGATAGCATAAAAAGTTATGCTAGTGTCTTAGCTATAACCAAACGAACCCATCGAATTCCAACTCTTAGAGACCCACCCAATAGGGTAGAGTTGAATGGTCCCATAGGGTTTCCAAGGCCATAAATTCAGGTGAACCGTTTGCAAGCTTCCTCATGGAGTTGACCGTATGATGTTAGATCACATTGTGGAAGAAGCATGGCCTGCCCAAGTTAACACAACCTACTGTTCACAACAGGTATGTGTAAAACAACATCCACAATCGGTTCTAAGAAACACTGCTTTTTGTGACTTGGATACTGAATGAATACCATGCTAAAACCAGAGTCCACTTCCAGTTGTCCTGGTCACTGCTGCTCCATCGTAGCCTGAGTTGGTTTGGGGAGGGGGGCGGGGATATGGAACAGCATGGCAGAGAGAGCAGAACTAGAGGGGAGCTAGAGGAAGAGAGTGGGGAGCGAGTGAAGAACACTCATCTCGCCCTCTGTTCCAGCCCCCACGCAGCAAGAGCAGCCCAGGCTCCTCGGGCCCCTGCTGCCATCTACCTACCTATGAGACACTGCTGGAGAACCAGCACCCAGGCCAGGTTCTCCACCTTCCCTGCCTGTAGCTTGATTGTAGTCCAGTGCTATAAGAATCTGGGCGTGGGGGGTCTTGAAAATCATAGAGGGAAAGAATAAACAAAAGGGTAGCGGCTTCCCTTAAAATTTTTTTTGAAAACCATACAGAACAATGGATGTAAACGTACTTGAACATTACCCAAATGGATACCGCTGAGACTTACCTGTAGAGTTAAAATGGGGAAGGGATGCACCACTAGGTGAGCACATGCTCAGAACTACATTCTTTCCAAAATCTTCCTTAACATCAGCAATTCTATTTTCAAGTATCTTCTTCCTAGAACATCTTGAGTAAAATCTGTCAGCAAGTCTGAGTTTCTGACCCCTACCTTTAGTTGCTAGGAAGTGACTTAATATAGAAGACAGGCTGGCCAAACTACACGACTGATTGGGGGGAGACCTCTCAGTTTCACCCAGCCACATGCCTATGAATGGGGGAAAGGCAAGGTTGCACCCACAGGAAGGCAGCACCAGGGGCTTGTAACAAAATGAAATTTGAATCAGATCTCATGCCAGCCATTTTATTATGTGTAGGGCCTCAGTTTCAGAGGTTCACCAGCACAGCACAAATACAAACATATGGTATATACTTCCTGGTAAAATTACTGGGTCAAAATTTAGAGCATCACAAATGTGGTTAGGAAAGCTGATAGTGCCTGGCTATCAAAAGATATAGTGTATGGGGTCTTAAAGGCTTGAAGAGACCGAAAGCCCATCTGTGGACAATTGGACATCCCTCACAGAAGGGTCACTAGGAAGAGATCAGCAAGTCAGGGTGCAGTCTAGTACCGATGAAACGTACAACTTTCCTCTAGTTCTTAATGCTTCCTCTCACCACTATCATGAACCCAATTCTACCTTACAAATCTGGCTAGACCAGAGCATGTACACTGGTACAGATAAGAGCTGGAAACACAGGGATCCTGGACAGATAACCCCCTCAGGACCAATAAAAAGAGTAGCGATTCCAGGAGGGGAAGGGGAAGGTGGGGGGAGAAAGGGGGAACCCATCACAATGATCTACATGTAACCCCCTCCCAGGGGGACTAACAACAGCAAAGTGGATGAAAGAAGACAGCAGTCAGTGTAAGACAAGAAAAAAAATTATAAATTGTCAAGGGTTCATGAGGGAGGGAGGCAAATGAGCTGATCCCAAGGGCTCAAGTAGAAAGAAAATGTTTTGAAAATGATGAGGGCAACATATGTACAAATGTGCTTGACACAATGGATGGCTTGTGATAAAAGCTGTAAGAGCCCCCCAAAAAATGATTTTTTTAAAGAAGAAAAGAAAAAGAAAAGCTTCAAAATATTTTAATAGAGAATATTACTCACCCTCCAAAAAGACATAACCAGTTTAACTCTCTTATTTCTCAATATCCCTGTCCACACTTATCTCATTTATCTTTTTTATTTTTGCCAAGCACATTAGCAAAAGAAATATTTCATGGTTTTAGTTTGTATTTTCCTATTAATGAGGCTGACTATTTTTTCAGATGTTAATGTACCAATTTATATTAGTACTGTGAGTTGCCTTTGCTCATTCTACTTGGATATTATTTCTCATAAATTTATAGGAGCTACTTATAGATTCTGCCTATTAATTCTTTGTAGGACTATAGACAGTTTTGCTAAGTGTGAGACCTGTCTCTCACTTTCAACTAGATTTATAGTGACAGCTTTACATACTCTGACATCCCATTTACTGTCCTTGATGTTTGTGAACTTAATGCAGGGGTCCAGGGCTCTTTCTGGAAAATCTGCTGGTGTGAAAGGAGGCCCGGGGTCCTCATTTCCCCTGCCTTTTCCAGAAAGTGGGTTTTATTGCATCCTCCTGGCTGTTCCTGCTATCAGAGTGTATCAGACTGGAGCGAGAGAGGCACCCAGAGAGGCAAGGCCATGGGTGTCTTGGAGGCCACTGTAGGGTTTTTGGCTTCAATGCTGAGGCTTTAAACAGAGGACCAGTCTATGCAGACTTCTGTTTTGGAAGACTCACTCCTGTCTTCTGGAAAGATCTACTGAGACCACCCAGGAAACTATAAAAGATAACTAGGGCTTGAGTGATAAATGTGGCAGTAGACAGAGGCCAGCAGGGTTGGTGTACCGAGGGAAGGGTCAGCCAAGGGACTTGACAATGGGCTGGATGCACAGTGGGAGAGAAAGATAGGAGGCCAGGATGTTCTGAGACATTTTCCCTACAAGCTCAGAAAGTCATCAACTCAAGTCCATATCAGCGCCAGGACAGGGGCCTGTAACTACCAGCTTCTGCGTGTAACTACTAGTCAGAAGTGTGCAAACAGTTAGTGTGCGGCTCCTAACAGAAAGGTTGGGGGTGTGAGTCCACCCAGAGACCCTTTGGGTGAGAAATGCCTGGTCATCTGCTGCTACAAGATCACAGCCATGACAAACCAACGGCAAGCCGTTCATTCCGACACACGGGGGGTTTGCCAGGAGTCGGGATTCACGCAATGACCACTCATTTGTGTAAGGAGCCTGGGGAGCAGTTCGTGTTCAACAGCTAACGGAAATGCCGGCAGTTTCAACCCACCCAGAGGTGCCACAGGAGACAGGCCAGCACCTGCTTCCATCAAGATTAGAGGCATGAGTCAGAATCAACTCGCTGTGAGAGGTTTGTTTGCTGTCTGGTCCTTCTCGGGCACATTTCATGTGATCCCCAAGGCCTCACAAGGAGCCAGGCATGTGGGCATGCAATAAAGGCATGCTGAATGTTGGAGGACTGTCCTTTGTGTAGAAGGGGCCGAGGGACAGCTGAGTCATGTTCATGCACATGAGTGGACCTCTTTCATTTCCATAGCTCTTAGCCTCCCTCTTCCAGATGTTCCAACTCCTGATTCCCTGTCCTCCCGCCCCCACCTTCCATTCACTCTCACTCTCGGCACACCATGATTTCCTGAGCCCTACTTCACCCCCACCCGTTCTTCCCTCTCAGGGCTCCTCCCCCACACACTCGGGCTCCAAGTGAAGGGCCCACTGGGTGGGGGAGGCGGTCTGAAGGACCTGAGAGCTTCGTCCCCAGCTTCCAGCGGATCTGCTGGCTCTCTCCCGCAGGAGAGGGGGCGGCGCAGGAGAGGGGGCTGCGGGGCCCAAGAGCGGGTGCAGAGCTCTTGGCCCTCCTCCCTCTCCAGAAGAGGCTGTGGAGAGCTTTTCCTCTCTGCGTTCGCGGGCAGCTACTTCTTCAAGTATTTCCTCACAGAGGAAAGGAATTCCTTTTAAGAAGTAAACCCACACCCCCAAGACTGCCACCATCCTCACCAATCCATCTATCAAAACAATTGCTGCAAATGCTTACCGAATGCCAGACGCTCTGCCCATTGTTTCGACCTACAGTGTCTCCCTGAATCCCCTTAAGGACCATTGATATGAGTGAATATTTCCATTTTGCAGATTTGGAAGCTGAGGCTCAGTCTCTCTCAGCTTTCCTTTGGATTCCCCATTGTGTTCATGGCTTCGAGCTGAGAGAACAACTCTGTTCTCACTGCCATTCAGTCAGTACTGACTCATAGCGACCGCCTGGGGGTTTCTGAGACGACCGGTATAGGAAGCCAGTTTTTCTCTTGCAGGGTGTTGGTGGTTTCGAACTGCCAACCATGTGGATCACAGTCAAATGCTTAACCACTACACCACCAGGGCTCCTATGACATAACAAAGTGCCTTATAATGATCATTTATTTTAGGTGACTTATCATTTATTTTAACAGATATTTATTATCTCACAGGCTAGGGGGCTTACAGTCCAAAAATGAAGTGTTGGCAAAGCCATGCTCTCACTGAAGTCTCTAAAGAAGAGCTTCTTGCCCCTTCTAGATTTCAGGGGCTCTAAACATCTCTAGGTTTGGGGACCCACGATCCCATCTGCTGCTGCTGTCTTCCTGTGTGTCTACCTCTGTTCCCCTTCTTATAAGGACACAAGTTATATTGCATTAGTATAAGGAGTTTTACTCCAGTATAAGGAGCCATGATGGTTAAAATACTTGACTGCTAACCAACAGATC